GGGCTGATAGGTTTAAACTAATCGAAAAAGTATCAATTTAAACCAAACTAATTTTTTGTTGAAAATATTAAAACCAATTGGAGTTTCTCTAGATAAGTTGCAAAGAGATTAGACAAAAATAAGTGACGCTGTTGAAATTTTTATTGAGCTGATAAACATGTTATTATTTTTATAAGCTGAAAAAAATACATATTGGAAACTAGATACATCAGATTGTCAGTGATGCTCATTTCTTTTGCAAACACGCTAGATCCTAGATATTTTGTCTATCTAGTCTTTCTGAAAATGGAAATGAAGCTACAAAGACCTTTAAAGATAAAGTATTTACGTAACTTGTTACTAGTAATACTGGTTACTGGTAACAAGTTATGTATATATATATATATATATATATATATATATATATATATATATATATATATATATATATATATATATATATATATATATATATATATATATATATATATATATATATATATATATACATATATATATCAGGCTTGGCCAGGAACGTGTGCAAAAACAAGTCTTTTTATGACCACACAAACAATATTTTATTTTGACCACAGCTTTGACAACAAAAACACCAACATGCCAACAAACACCTTCTTATCATCTACTTCTGACTGGTTCCTAAGATATAAATATTTTAACTTTACCTAGAACCAACAAAAATGTTACACCTTTAACTTAAAAAAACTTTCCTTATTATATTCTATGTAATTCCTTTAACTTAAAAAAACTTTCCTTACACCAAAGCATAAACAAAGGGTACCACAAAGAACCTTGTGGTACCCTTAAAGTTACTCGAAATTAAGAAAAGTGTAGACCTTCAAGATGTTAGACTTTCAAGAATAACTTTAATACTGCAGTTAGAACAAAATGATTTAATAATCTCAAAAACTTTATATAAAGAAACTAATAACAGTGTGAAGACTAATCGTAGGTTAGTTGGAGAGGTCAAATTATTTGCTAGAGTTTTAAAAAAATTGGAGCATTAGCAATTTTTAAAAGTTTAGCGAAAATTGAAGAGAGTTCTGGAGAACACTTTTTAAAGACTATAATGGAAATTTTGTCTGAAGCACAAACTGTAGAAGTGTTTAATTGAAAATTAACTTTAGCATTGGAAGCCAGAGTGATTTGTATGTTAAACAATGGGTTAATATGTTTAACTGGAAGAAAGAGTATGGCCATTAGATTCAAGAATTAAATTAGAGTAAGATTTCTTTGCAAATAACTCTGACATATTCTGGGGAGAAGTAAAAAGATTAGACCTATGAATTAGAGATTAAATGTTAGACTTACTTTAGTTAATGACACTCTTGAAGACTTACCAAAAGTCTCTAGAACCTAACATCTGAGATAAGATACAAGATTTAGTAAACTGAGAATAACAGAGATTAATATTAGACAGGATCTTTTTACATTGGCTTCTTGGAATAATAAAAGAACATATGTTCTTAAGAGAGGCATTCTTGTAAAAAAGATGAAAAAAAATGATTACTGTTTAATTAAGTAACTGCTCAAGATTGTAAAAAATGTGGAATAAAAAATGTTGAAATTGGTTAAAAGGAATAAAATCTTCTAAACTTTTATTCCTTCTGGAATAAAAGTTTAGAAGAATTATGTATACATTTTATGGGTATAAACATGTTTGTTATTTATTTATATGTATAAATAAATATATATATAATATATATTATATATATATATATATATATATATATATATATATATATATATATATATATATATATATATATATATATATATATATATATATATTATATATATATATATATATATATATATATATATATATATATATATATATATGGTATAGTATTTGCCAAAAGAGACGTTGATCAGATGGATGTGTGATGTGACTCTAACAAGACAAGAAAAAAAGGCATAATCTCTGACAGGTTTAAAAAAAAAGTCATACTGAACAACGTTTGTTAGAGAAAGTTAAAGTGATTTAGGTTTCAGTTTGTAGAGAAAATCTAAAGTTCCAAAGTAGTATTTAAACTTAAGTCTTTGATTTTATGAAAAGGAATGTCATGAAAATTCAAGAAAAAAAATGTGCTTAAACTATGATACATCTACGTTATACTATGGAGTTGTTACATTACCTGAACATTATTGCTAAGCTAACCATGCTTTAGTTTTTATGCTTGGAGGAATATCTACAAGATGGAAACAAACTGTAGCATAAAATTATACTGCAAATTCTGTTAATGTACTATAAAAAAATATACTGAAAATATAGGATTAAAAATGAATAGTGTTACTTCTGACATAGGTGCTATCAACCAGGCAATGGGGAGATCTTTTAATATTAGTTACTAAAAATGGTAAAATTAACAGTTCAATTAAACACCCAGGACTTAACTGGTACTGTTGATTTTTTTTAACGGATTTATTAAAGTTTTATTTTTTAGCCACATTTATTAAAGAATGTAAGAAAATCTCTCTTATGTAACAAAGATTTCATATTTACAGCTAAGATTCAAGAAAAATATAAACTTTTACTGGTGCACAAAGTTGGAAGTTTTTTTTTGTTAATGAAAAAATATTTGCATTTTTTTTATAAACAGAATTAATATTTAGATCATTTGAGCCATACCTTTTTTTGCCAAAACAATTGTAATGTTATGCTTGTAGAGAAAATCGATTCTGATGAAAAAGATAAAAATTTGGCTTTATATACTATTTGTCATCAAATTATATCGAAGCTTGAAAGCAGGTTTATTACATTCAGACAAAATATTTAGCCTTAAGAAAAAGCTTTTTATACGTAAAAAGAAAAGAAAAAAAAATTTTCTTGTCCACTTGACAGCAAGAGTATGATAATGCATGCAGCGGCTGTGAAAGTTTTGGTTTAACCAAATAGCTAATTTAACATATTAAAAGACTTTTGTCAAGTATAAACCTTGTTCAGTTACATATAAATTACAAGTATTTTTTTGCTGTTTTATTTCAATTTATGTATTTGCTGAACAAAAAGTTTTATATTTTTGTTTAAAGTATTATTGTTTGTTATATTTATTTTTACTCAAATTCATTTATGCTGCACACTTTAGTTTGACAAAAACATTCCCACTGTTTTCTGTATGTCCGCTCTCTGAGTATATAGGCTCTCTAGACCTTTCTATGTTTGCAATGTGTTTATGGACGTTGTCTAAAAGAGAAAGGGCATCATTCGAAGATCTGCTTCAAATTTGGCAACAGTATATCATACAAGGACAGATTTGAGATTCATAGAGATAAAGAATAGAATCTGTAGTAAGAAAGTAGCAAGCACAATAAAGAGATGCTGCCTTAGCAGATGCATATTTCACAATGGATAAATTAAAAGACTTTATATCACTTGATATAAAGTCTTTTAATGGACTTGATATAAAGTTTTCAAGAAAGATTGGAAGTAAGAGTTAATCCTCAAAGATAAAAGGTAGATGACTTATCGAGTATATTATTGTTTATCAACAAAGGAAGATCTAGATTGTTGCGACAATGTTTAGCTGAAAAGTTTTATCTGAGTTAAAGTTCACCAGCCACTGCGAGCCCCATGTTGTAGCAGAAATGAGATCCTTTTTCAAGCTCAAATACCCCTTCCAAGCAACCAGAGAGTGTTGGTTTCTTATCAAGACAAGAACAAATGGTAGTCTTGTCAGTAAACAATGCCACCTTAGATGTGAGAATTTCTAAAAGAGTGGTAATGTAAATTAAAAAAAGTATAGGGCCAAGTATAGAACCTTGAGGAATTCCTGAAATTGCAGGAAATGAAGGAGAGTGCTGTCCATCAAGGACAACTTTTATACTTTGATTGGTAAGGAAGGATTCAATAGTCTTAAAGATTTTACCTGATACACCATATGAAGAAGAGAAAATTTTTGGAGAAGAGAGCTTATGTAGAAGACCAACATGCCTAACTTTATCAAAGGCTTCAGAAATATTGAGAGTGGTAGCCTTAACATTTATCTATCAGTATATGCAAATCAGCGAGAAGATCAAAATTCATATTCATGATCAGAAAGTAAGTTATTCGATTCAAGATGTTTGTTAATTAAAGACTTAAAAACCTTGCTTGTGATTCGAAGACTGAGACGGTAGTTATACAAGTCAGATCGCTCTTCAGAATTTTTGAAAATATGGATAACAGATGCTGCTTTTCAGCCGGCTGGGCTCAACCACTTGTTAAATAGTTTAAATAGTTTTGAAAGTAAAGATGACAGCTCCAGAGAACACAAAACTATAACAGGTATGTTGTCCTGACTATAAGCTGTAGAAGAGTCTAAGCAGGAAAGATATAGAAGCTGGAGTAATACGAATGTCAAGTAATCAATCTGTTTGTCGGCTGTATCAGGTAGGATGTGATTAGTGGAATCAAGAGGTGAAACTGATGAAAAGTTCCTAGCAAAAATTCAGCTTTGTATTTAGGTGAGGTATTAAAATCTAAACCATGCAAGAGAGGATGAATAACAAATTTGCCCTTATTATAGACATTGTTAAAGACTCTCTAGAAGTCTCTGGAGCCTAATTTTTTATATGAAATACAAGATTGAGAATAACAGGTTTTGGCATTAGACGAAACCTTTTTATAATGGTTTCAACCAATAATAAACAGACGTCTGTTTTCTGTAAAATTGTTTTGGTGATAGATATGGGAGTAATGGTTACGATTAAAATTGCTGCAGCACAATCAAAGAGAAACCATGAAAAATAGTGAGACATGTGTATATTGAATTTAAATCAATTGTCGTTTGACTCTATAAATATAAAACATGTATATTGATGAGCTATTTTCTTTCAAACAAATATAAATATTCATAAGAATATTATTCGATGTGCTAATTGTATTGCTTTTTTTATGACATATATCTCATAATCTAAAACAATTGTTATGGCCAAAATTAACAATCCACTGTATTATTTCAAACCTCCTTCAAAATTTCATTTGCCTTTGATTAAAACTAAAATATTGAAATTAAAACAAGTATCAAAAAAAAAAAAAAATGTGATCAAAATAAACTAACCACAAAAATAAAATTAACAAACCTTAATTAATAAAATACTTTTCCTTTTTGGCTAAGATCAGTTGATAATAAATATCTTTTTTTTTTTCACTATGCCAATAAGTGAACGTTCATTTTTTTTTTTTTTTTAAATGCTGAGTCTTCTAGGACTGAGAAGATTTTGAATTGTATTGTATTTTTAATATAGGCTGATTATTCTGCTAAAAGTGACATATGTTTTGTTAAAATGTTTTGCAGTTTCTCTCATTAAGATGTTTTGTTCTTTCAAAACTATGATTTTACATTATGTTATATTATCAATAATTTTTTCAGTCAATTTGATTGTTTTATTGCTGAAATATTGCTGTTAATTAGATAGTCATTTTTCTGTTCAATTTTACACAAGTTTCTCAAATATTTATAACAATTTAAATAAAAATTCTTAAATAATTATAAATATTTTTTTGATAGGCACAAAAAAAAAAAAAGAAACGAACGTTCACATTTTTTTTTTTTTTTTGGATACAAATGAACACTTGTTTTAATTTCAATATTTTAGTTTTTTATTTTTTTAATTTTTATTACTTTATAATAAATTTATATTGTGATTATTTGATTTATTTCATTAAATAAAAACTTAAATAAAAAGTAAATAATCACTTTTAGTTTATAAGATATTTAATTTCAAACTTATATTTATACTAAAATAGCATGATGGATTGTTATTTATGGCCAATACTGTGTGTATATATAGGGTGCTTACAATGCCGCCTACTTTCCAAAAAAAAATTTTCTTATTCTTAAAACTTTTTATTAATTCTCTGTAAAAAACTTTTCAAATGTAATTAAGTTTAGGGGGGTCACCTTAAGTTTGAACTTTGCAATCTGATTCTAAATGACATACATTAAAACGTTTATTTAAAGAATGTCATTTTGGTTCTCAAAGAAGAATTTTAAAAATAATAATCATTTTATAAAAAAATAATTATTTTGGCTTTTGGTGTGTAGAAAATGATATTGTTTAACTAAAAATGAATAAGTGTATTCTTACATGATTATTTTAATTTTTCTGATGTTTTTCATAAAATGATGATTAATTTTTATATAAATTTTTTATAACTTTTATATAATTATGCTTCTTTTAAGACCCAATATGGTGACTCTCTTAAACCCAATTACATTAATAAAAAAAATGAAGAGTTGTTTGTGAGAACCAAGAAATTTTTTTAGGAATAAGGACAGATCTTTTTTAAAAAGTTAAAGGCATTGTGTGTGTATGTATGTGTGTGAATAAATATGTGTGTGTGTGTATATATATATATATATACATATATATATATATATATATATATATATATATATATATATATATATATATATATATATATATATATATATATATATATATATATATACATATATATATATATATATATATATATATATATATATATATACATATATATATATATATATATATATATATATATATATATATACACACATATATATATATATATATATATATATATACACATATATATATATATATATATATATATATATATATATATATATATATATATATATTTATATATATATATATATATATGTATATATATATATATGTATATATATATATATATATATATATGTATATATATATATATATATGTATATATATATGTATATATATATGTATATATATATATGTGTGTATATATATATATATATATATATATATATATATATATATATATATATATATATATTTCGAATTTTTAGGTTGGATCACTGGTCTACACTAATTGGAATGTTTGTCGCTTTTAATTTTGAACGTTTAGAAGGTTTTTTCAAAAGTCTTGATAATGACAATACATTTGCAAAAAAGCAACGTGTTGCTTTGCGAGCATTTATTACAGCTTTTTTGCTTGCTATTTTTTCTGTATGGTTTTACTTCATACTGCTTAAGTCGAAAAAAGATTATTTAGATTTGCACCCTTTCACATCACCCGTCCCAATTGTTATATATATAATGCTACGGAACATTCATCCTGTCCTTCGTACACACTATATGAACTTGTTTTCATGGTTAGGAAAAATTACTTTGGAAACTTACTTGTCCCAAATACATATTTACATGATGGGAGATGCTAAAAATATACTGGTTTATTTACCGCAATACCCGATGCTGAATTTTGCTTTTGCAACTGTTGTTTATATTGCCTTTTCGTACGCTCTCTTTCATTTAACTGTTTTTTTTAGTAGCTACATTTTTCCGAGAAATATTCTTGTAGTAACAAAAAATCTTCTACTTGGTGGATTGTGGTTAGGTTTGTGTTACGCCCTAGTTTATATTTTAACTAAACAATTAATATGGTCTTCTCCGCTAACTGGATTAGAATTTTTGAGGTGGAACATTACTAAATATTAACGCATGTGTGTTTTTATAGAAAACATCTTTATTTTTATTGTTTCTGAATATTATGCTTGTTATTAGAAAAGGTCTTTATCGTTGTTTAAATTTTTGTAAATAAAATGTGTCATTTTGTATATAAGCTTAAAGTCACAATATTATGCGTCTATGTGTAAGTAGTATCAGGTGCGCCCATGTTTGTATAAGCAGTATCAGATGCGCCCGTGTTTGTATAGGCATTATCAGGTGTGTCTATGTTTGTATAAGCAGTGTCAGATGCGCCTATATTTGTATAAGCAGTATCAGATTAAGGCAGCAATCCAAGCTTCTTGGTAACACCAAAAATTTGGATATTAAAACGAGTAAATATTGCTTTTTGGAAAAGCTTCAAATTCAGATTCATTCGTTCATGTTCTGTGTAGCAAAGCAATATCATTAAATAATTTTTATAGCGTTCTTTTGAATGAACATTCTGAAATCAGTGTTGAGCTTGAACAAACCATTTTCATAACAAAAACAAAGTGCATAACCTTAAGCTGTGTCTGGTGATATTTGTAGGAAAGTGTAGGTAATTTGTTTATTTTAAATAATGAAAAAGTTAACTACTGCGTAACGTAATCAGTTTTTAAACACTAAATAGCATTTTTTCTGAGACATCTTGCAATTTCTAAAGATGTCCATTTCAATGGACATTATGAAAATAAGGAACAGTTTTTGCTTCTCATTTAAGGGAGGATGGGTAGGAGTGAGCCACTTTTTTTTAAAATCAATTATATCAAGGAAACCAAAAGTAGAAAAAGTATAAAATAAGAAGCCAAAGGTAATTAAGCATAACATAATTAAGTAATAATGTAAAATAAACAACAACAAATTTAACACAATTTAAAATTCATTTAATGAAATGAACAAAATGTATAAACTACCAGAAAAATAAATTGTTTTCATTAACAACTGATTTTGACAACATAACAAAAAACTGTCAAGACAAATGATAATTTCTAAATATGAAGATATAATAAAAGTATATATATATATATATATATATATATATATATATATATATATATATATATATATATATATATATATATATATATGTAATGAAAGTAGTATATTAGCATATAGTATATTGGCAATAAAAATAATACTTAACAAATACTGATATAGTCAAACACAAAATCAAATTTGTAATGGCAATGCTGCCTTTTACTTGTTCCAGAAAAAATTGGTCAATATAGCAATATTTTAGAAGCATCTTTCCTAACTTTTCTGGAAGTTTTTGCTTTCAAAGTTGTTCTTTTATAGACTCGAGGCATTCTAACATATGGTAAAAATAAATGTAATGTTGCACACGAGTTTTTTTAATGATATACTAAGATATAAAAGTCAAGCGTAAATTTATTTTTACTTTGAAGTCAAAACTTTTTTAACAAGAAGTATTAGTGAGCCGCGTTTCACTCTTACCCGTGAAGAAATGGCTCATTCCTCCCCAAGTTGTACAACTGGACTAAAACATTAAATGTGCAATAGGTACGTGGTTTATGCGGGTAATATACTTTGTTCTAAAAACTACACTGTTTATTAGTAAATTTAGAACCACTAACTAATGTCTTGTAACAACCGGTACGCTCGTTAAAGAAGTTTCAAAAAATACAAAAAAATTACTTTTGCACAGAAAGAGTGGATGACAACGTAAACGCAGACACCCGCACAAAGAAGCGGTAAAAAAAATTAGATTGTGTTAACAACAATTTCTATGTAACTACTTGGTAAAAATCTTGAGTTTTTTTCATTTCCCGTTTTAGCTGTAGGATTAACGATTCACTCCTACCCTTGGCTCACTCGCAGTAGTAAATGTTGTAAATACTTCAACTTATTTGATAAAAGTACCGATGAAATACACACCGATAAAAGTGCCGATGAAAATTTTAATGTGAAGTGCTTTTATGCTAAATTTTTTTTTTCCACATTTGAAAAATATTTTTCAACTTTTGTTAGACAAATATTTGTCCTCATTATGCATTTGAATGTTTGTCCACATTATGGATTTCATAAAGTTTTTTCCACTATCCATTTTAAAAACATTAGTCAACATTATGCATTTGAAAAATATTTGTTCACATAGGCCGGCGTCTGAAAAAAGACATTTTTGATAGGTATATTGAAGAACTAAGCAAACTGATTACAAAACAAAATGTTCTAAGTTTTTACGGTCCCTTTAATAGGAAAATCACGCTCAAAGTTTTGCTCTACATTGAACCATGGACAGTTTCAATTAACTAACAAAAATAGACTTCTTTTTTTTTTAGTTACGCCTAAATAATATTTTTAAATTTAGTAATTAACCAAAGTATGTTAAAATTTGATATGTTAAAATTTGAAAGAAAGCAGCCTGGCGCAGTGGTAGCGCACTTGCCTCAGAAACGTAAGACCTGTGGTTCAAACCCCACCTTACAGAAGTTTTGTGACATCGGTTGAAAAGGAGGCGTGAACTTCCTATTAAATCCTCTTCCGCGGTGCTCTGTGATAAGACCGTATGGACTTCTTGGGGCACCTAAATCAACATTAAAAAAAAAAAAAAAGTGTTCCATCACAGGTAACTTAGATTGTATTTTGGCTGTTTCCCTTGGTTTTCTATGCTATGCTTTAAAGGAGGACTGTAATTGAAACAAAGATATCATTATTAACCAAATTTTTCCGTTGATAATATTTACCATGCATTTCAATGTTAAAAAATATAAAATGATAGGTAATTTTTATAAAGAAAAAAATGGGCTTTAATAATATATGATAAACATCTTTTTTCTCTAATTTTCTTTTTTAGACATTTTCTTTTTTCTCTAATTTTATTCTTAAATATCTTCTTTTTTTACTATTTCTTTTTTTTCAAAATTTTCTACTTGATTTATTAACCATATATTATTATTATTATTATTATTATTATTATTATTATTATTATTATTATTATTATTGTCATAATCTTTAGAGACTCTATGAAAAGATTATCACAGTTATCACTATGATTGATACTTGCAAAGATCTATTCAAACTACGCCAGCTTTTTTAGAAAGACATATTTTTGAGGAATAATTACAACGGCAATAACTACGAAAAAAATAAAGCACCTAATTTTTTTTTGTTTTAAACTTTATTTTTTGTTAAAAGTTACAATAGTTTTAGCAAGAATAAAACTAATAAAAATCAGCAAATTTAACACTTACAGACAATACATACTCACATGAAAATCATTTAAAAAATGTCCATATATATATAGTCAATTTACAATTAAATTTTTGAAAAAAAATTTAAAAACAAACTAAAATTTACAAAATTATAATATAAATTACAAATGATATTAAAATATTAAAATTACGACCGTTTCATTACAGAAAAATGAGTAAATATTGTATTATAATGTCAGGATAAATAAAAATAATAAAATAAATTAAGAAAAAAAAAAAAAAAGAGATAAATAAAAATAGTAGTTAAAGACGACAAGTTTTGCAATTACAATTTTTTGCATTCTAATTTTTGATATGTTTTTTGAACACCTCAAAACTTCTAGAGGACATGGTCTTGTTATCTAGAGTGTTCCATAACGAGATGGCTCTACATATAGTACAACATGTATCCTTATATTTGGAGCCAGTTGAAGGTAGAATCATTTTTTTGCTACAACAAAGTTTAAAAGGAAGGTTTTTTGAATTGAATAAATCCTTCAAAATTTTGGATATAGACAACTTAATGATTTAAAAACTTCTATTATAAGAAAACGCAAATTTCTTAAGTGGACTATTATCAAAACTTAACAATTGATCAAGAGATAAGTCAAACCTTTTATAAACAATAAAATTGTCATAGTATTAAGAACAAAACATCCAAATTAATTTGAAAAATTTGACATTATGAAGGCAACTTTAAACAACAAGGCAGTTTTGTTACGGGATAAAAAATTTTTATGCATGAAAGAGCAAAACATTTACGATTAGCTTTACTGCATAAGAATTTAATGTGTTCTCCAAAATTTATATTCTTATCAATTTTAACACCAAGTAGTTTCACCTTATCAGAGGCACAAACGTTTATATTACCTATTTTTAGGTATTGATTTTATGCGTTTTTTAAACCAACTAAAAGTAATTGGAAATTATCAGGGTTGGCAACAATCAAGTTCAACTTAAACCAAACAATGGTATTAGTTGCTTCTTTTTGCAATCGAAAAATAACCTTTTCTAAGCTGTCATCACAGGCATACAGCGTATTATCATCTGCAAAGTTGCACAATTCAGTAGCTTTAATAAATAATAATATATCATTTATAAAGATATTAAAGAGGATGGGGCCAATGACTGAACCTTAAGGCAGTTTTATTTTTTGATAAAATTTTTAGCTCTTTTTATGTGTTCCACTTGCGAATCTTTATTTGGTGGTATCGTGTCATCTCTAAATCTTTTTTACTAAATTATTGTTTGTTTAGTTCGCCGTTTAATAACTTTTACAATTTAAAAGTTTATAAATAAAAACACTGTGTTAACTAATTCTTTTTGTTCATTCTTGTATAATTATATATAATATTGTGATCTAAAATGAACGTATTTTTTACGGATACTTTTTAGTTCACCAGATAAATTTGATATTCAAACTGATCTAAACATTTAAAGAGTTTTGATCAATAGTAAAATCTTCTAAGTAAAATCCATCAAAAGTTTGCAATAAAAAATCTATAAGAAAACGACTATCCGCAATCCAAACTTCGAAATGCAACTTAATTGAAATCACTATCCCCAAAGATTATCAATAAGCTTTATTAATGATGTTATAAAAAAACGAATAAAGTGCAAGCAGAATTTGATAATTCATAACAAAAAAGTTGGCTTAACACAGAGTAAGGAAGATATACCGGGTTTAAAAAACTAAATTTGCTGCAAAAGTTAAATATTTAATTAGAGAAACCTTTAATGTTGTTAATTAAGCAATAGTTAAGTGTTATATGCAAGCAGAGTTATTTAAATTCTAAGCAAGATTCTAAGAGTTATCTTTATTCTAAAATAAATACCATGAGTAAG